TCTCTAAAGATAAAAATTATGCTATTGAAATTGTACCCGAAGGAGAAATGGTTGCTCAAAATCAAGACGTGTTAGATGGAGAGCTGGAAATTCAAAATCAAGAAGCTGTAATAGAAGAAATGATTCATAGCCAAGGAGAAGAGCAAACTGAAATCGATAATACTGACGAAGGACCTGTACAATTAAGAAAATCTAGTAGAGCACCAGTAACAAGAAAATTATGTAAATTGCCATGTTGTATGTCTGCTCAACTCTACAATCATGAAGAGAAGATTCCGTCCAGTTATGAGGAAGCTGTGAATAGCTCAAACGCACTTGCATGGGAGGATGCCATTAATAAAGAATTTCGGAATTTAAATTTGCAAGAAACCTGGAAAATTATAAAACGACAACCATGTGCAAGGGTAACAGGATGCAAGTGGGTGTTCTCAATCAAAAACGGAGATGGAAACATTAAGAAGTATAAAGCCCGACTTGTTGCACAAGGTTTTCGTCAAACTCACGGAGTAAACTATTTTGAAACTATGAGTCCTGTAGTGGAGAAGAAATCAATCAGACTTCTGACCTATCTAGCTGTACATCATGGATGGAGGTTGGATCATGTAGATGTAGTCGGAGCGTACCTCAATAGCAGTTTGGATGAGGAAGTATTGATGGAAGTACCTGATGGATTAGAACTCGATAATGTTATTTGGAAAAGCCGAAAACAGAAATGCGTAGCCAGTTCATCAACTCATGCAGAGTATATCGCCCTTTATGAGTCAATGTGTGAATTTCTGTGGCTACAAACTTTGTTACGTGAATTAAGTGAAGAAGATTTAATTTATGGAAGAGAAATTGTTTATTGTGATAATCAAGGTTCGATTGCAATTGCAGAAAATGAAAATATAATGGAGAGAAGTAAGCATTTTGTTGTTAAATACAATTTTGTGAGAGAATGTATTAATAACAGAATGATCAAAGTAGAATATATACCTTCATCAGAAAACCTTGCTGACCTCTTCACGAAATCCCTGTCGGGGCCCAAAACAGGAATGTTTGCTAAGGCTATAGGTCTACTCTAAGAATCAAGATTTTTTAAATATGAAATAAGGGGAGGTAATTTGTATTTTATATTTAAAAAACTGTATATTCCCTATTTTGAACTTAGAAGTAAGTTTTGATGTAGTATTCTTTATATGAATTTATAAATATTTTTAATCGAGGGGAGGTGTTGAAGTACGATCATAAAATATTTTATAAATTATAAAGTGTGTTGATGTTAAAAAAAATATATGATGAATATTGAATGACATTTATGAACTTCTTTATTTTTCTATTATTTTGAAGCTCAATACGTTTTATTAATGTTCTAACATTAATCTTTCAACAGAACCCAATTTCATACCTAACGAAACAAGTTGATTCCGTAGGTTACGGTGGCGTCTAGTGTATAGAAGTTGCAGAGCCCTTAAAAAATAAAAAAATATCAAACACAGCGGTGGCATAGTTTCCCAACACAGTAAACGATGAGTCTCCGCGCACTCTACTATATGCATATGTGTATTTAGTATTTAATTTCCGATTCTCGGTGAGAATTGTTACTTGGGGATCGATTCAAAACAGAAACTATGCCGACAGCATTTGCATAACACGTTAGAATTTGATTTACTACGCACAGGAAATACAAGGGAACAAGTAGATTCTGCCCATCGAGTAAATATTAAAAAAATTTAAAAATTAGGTATTTATAGAAGACAAAAAAGTTCTTAGGTAGCTATCTAATCATGGGCATAATAAATAAATATTTACGAACAGTTTTTGTTTGTTTTTAAAACTATAGAATTTAACAATTAATCAATTTTTTAATAACTTTTAGTAGATATAATACGTCCTACCTACCTACAATCAAAATTTGTAATATATAAAACCAAAGTTCGTATTGCAAGTGTAACATAATATAACATTTTATAGCCACCATAATATTTAAATCATAGTGTAATTTATTTATTTTTATACCTCATTCTTAAAATTTTTTAATTTAAATTTGATAGTAAACAAAAATGTTCAACGATATTGGTGACTGTACCTTCAAACATAATTGCAAACGAATTGCTGTTATGATGCTATTAGTTATTCAAGGGGACATATAGCCAGATTGTAGTCATTACTCATTGTCACATGAAAATAGCTCAAATTTGTAAACTTCATTTAATAGTTTATGCAATACAATCTAACTTTTTGCAAGGGCTGCTCATAAGTAGGTACTCATAAAATCATATTGTTAATCTAATTTTCGTACTCGCTGTCATAGATTATTCATAACATAAGTGACTATTTCAGTATTCACCGGCCTAGTACTCGGTAAAGTATAAGCTTTTTTGAAAATCTTTCGCCTAAAAACCATTTTATTATAATAGGACTATCTACAATATTATTAAAAAAAAAGCACTGTAATAGTTTCCTTATTAATGTTACACGCAAACTGCAAAAGCAAAGAAACATTGTATGCATAGGTAGATCAAGTTAATCTTTCTTTTACTTTGATCATAAATAGTTATTTGTGTACCAAGGCCGTAAAAGTGATCTTTTTTGGCCGAAGCTGCTGTTTGTGGCCGAGGCGGTAGCCGAGGCCGCAATTCAGATGAGGCCTAACAAATCACTTTTGGCTAAGGTGCACGCAACATTTTTTAGGCGACCATCAAAAAAGAATTAAAAAATTTGCTCATAAACATATTTTTTCTGAAAATCATAGTTATCTTAGACAATTAAAAACAAAGCATTTCCTGTCATATGTAATTATAATTAGCATCTTTGCGTGTGTTTTGTGCGTATCAAAATGGGTGATAGCGACAGTTCAGATACCCCAAATGAAATTTTGGAAGCTGCAAGCGTTGCGCTTGCGACCCTAAGTCATATATGATATAAAAGCAGGCGTTTGAGAGTAAAAGTACAATCGCAACTTCCTCGGTTGCACAAGATTTTAATAATGTCAAATGCAATAGGTCCTTCGTAACTGTGGCTTCCAAGACCTTATAGTTAACGTACAATTATTAGAAACCTGATTACCTACTTTGATGGTAGGTATAGGTAGCTACTTGTGTTCTCGGTTAATTGCTGGTGATTCTTCGTATAATAATGTAAGCAATAACATCTTCCTCATGTTTTGGTTCTACACTTCAAAAAGGTCTCTGCAAGCAGCAAAGATTGAAACGTCAAACTATAATTTTAAATGTGAACATTGTGATTACGCAAAATAGTGTGAAACATTCCTACAAGTCTGAAAATGAAAAAAAACGCACGTGGATGGACCCAATCCTTGATGAGGACAGACCAGATAGACGCTTTCTATCAAACAGATTACTGGTTCTCACACATCAGTTTCAAATAAGTACAGTTTGACAGATGTGTACAATAAAGTAAAGTTTGACAGAAGCGTACAATAAAGTGAAACTTTATGGCCGCAAAAGCGACCACAAAATCAACGTTTTTGTGATGATAGCCTAAAAATTGTAATTATGTTAAAATGCGCAATTAATGTCAAACGCATTATGCCAATGCTGTAATTGTATTACTACAAATTAAAAGCACATTATAGTACCTAACACTGTATATAATGTTTGATTGTATATAAGAGTATAATAAAGGATTTATTCAATTAGAAATCGTTAATGTTCAATTCATGGTAATGATTTAATGAAATTTAAAGAATAGGCACTTTAAATGTTTGCATTCGAAACCAGGTACCTACTCCAGAGGTAGATGGAAAGAACATTTATATAAATTATATAATTTATAATTATATAAAATAACGCATATTGCGACTGAAGCAATAAAAGAAGATTTAATTTTTTTTAGTGAATAGTGTGGGACCATATCTTTCATCTATCTTTAAGTGGCTGGGATTTTATTAGATACTGTTCTAGCAAACGAGGCCACAGTATGATCTATTCTAATGAAATTGATATGTGTTAGCTAGCTAATTGCTTTGCTTTATAGAAGCATCCAAATTTATTTATGGATTGAAAACGATTAACTACATTTGAACTTTAAAGAGAAAAAGGAATAATAAATTGAAGGAGGTTTACTGTAGTAGGTACCTACGTTACAGGTACACGTGTAAATAAGAAATATCGACTAGGTACTTGAGTGATTTGGTTTCCTGTTGAAAGATAGCTGTCCAAGTAGGTACCAAGAGTGTAATCATTCCACATAAAGTGTTGTAAAACGAAACAAAAAATAGTTATTTATGATGGAGCAGTGATATTCCAGCTAGGATATCACCATTGCATTCATTAGTTTCAGCCTTTTTAGGGGAATTCTTGGAAAGAAAAAAATTCCTCTTCTGTGATGGTTTTGTCCGTCTGTCTGTTCCCCGTCTAATTCGAGAACGAAAACAGACATCGATACCAAACGATTTCCACGAGGATCAGTGCTATTGAATATGAGCCGGATCAAAAGTCTGGTTTCCGAATACGAGCCGAGTGGCAAAAAATTCTCCTACTGAAAATCGTATGCGATTCTTCGTATCTTGTAACAATTTACAGTAGTGTAAATTTTAGGGAATAACTGCCACAAATCGCACGATTTTACAAAAAGAAGAGACGGTCATAACAGTTAATTTGCATTTTTATGTTCATAAAGGCATTGAACCTGGTTTTTGATAGCAAAAATTACCAGTCCGTCTGAGCTCCTATTTATGCTATGGCCTATATACAAAATGCAGATCTTTCCAAATACGCAGCTTTAATGGAAATAAATTATAGAAGTGATGAAAATGAGATCGCGAATAAAACAGTTTCCAAAGTACAAGACAAGTCATATTGAAGACTGAATAAGTTGAATAAAAATTCAATCGACTCTAAAAAATTCGCTTTTACCAGGCATTTGAATCACTATTCTATTTTTTCAGATGTGGGAATGAATGAACTAGAAAACCTCTCATTTTCCAACAGTTACGCGTACTGAAATTGAAATGCAGCAACTATGTAGTCTTTATAGCAATCGCAAAAAGATGTCGATGATGATCAGGTTTGCATGGGGATCAATTTTAAGAAGAGGGTAAGGAATTTTGACAAAAATGCACCACTACAAGATCGACGAACATTCACGACTGAAAACCGGTTGCATCTCTGAAAAATGTATGTGAATTCCAGTTCGCCGCCCGCCGTCAACTTTTAGTGTTGGTGGGGCTACTAAGTGCAAGAGAATGTTGAATACATGCGGTCGCGTAAACCGGTACAAACAACACATAATAAATAATGAATTATAAGACTCTTTTTGTTTTGGTTTGTTTTTGATGAGTGTAACAGACCTTCAGTATTCTAATCCGCGGAAAATAGTGCGTATTTTCGAACTTATCCTGAAAAAGGTGACTGTTTTTCTTTGTTTGCGAAGTGCCTTTAGTGAATCGGAAGCTTTGGAATTTTTCAGAGAAGGTGAGTTTTAAATAATTTGGCCAAATTTGGAAAGAAGTCCACAAGTGATAAAATATTAAAATGCGTTGGTGCGAATAGTTCCGCAGGCTTTTTGAAGTCGTAAACTACAGGTGCAGGTAGATAAGCAACTCGGTTAAAGATAAAAAGCAAAAAGTAGCACACCTGTTAAAATTTTTTGCGGAAAATATAAGTAATTCAATGTAAATTTTTGCACCATTTAATGAAAAGGTAGTATTCTACTTTTTTATCATTTACACCCGTAATTCCCTAATTATATTTAATCTCGCACATGCGGAAGTTGTAGATGATTGAAGTTATAACTGGTTCTCTCGTGCTTTTTTTTATCTTCTGTCTCTCATGGTTTTGAACTTTTTATTTTTATTCCAAAATAAATGCCCATCTTTCCTAAAACGAGTTTATGCACGCTATTTAAATAGAACATTTTAATTTGGTAGGTATATAAATCCACACAATCTTTTTTAGATATCGATTTATAGCCGTTTATAATTTTTAATTTTTCTTTGATTTACTGTCAAGGCTTGATGTTTTTTTTAACATATTGACCGTATTCGCTTTCGTTCGTATATTGGTACGAGATTTTGACTACGTTACGCAGATAACATGAATCATACATTCCAGCCGTGATTAGGTGCAACGTTATCAGAATTACCTATTGTCGAGCCATATTGTCAGTGTCACATTTGGAAATTTGGATGTTGTGCGTCAGTTATCTGAATCTCGAAAGTTATTTTTACATACTCATATTCTTTTGTACATTACATAATTTAATCTAACTTATCAAAATATTAACTATATTTTTACCACCCGCACGTTAGTAGATAAGGGAGGTATTGCACTGGGGTAAAAAATGACCCCCCCCCCACTTTTTTACCAGAAATGCAGGTTTCGAAGCGTTAGGAATCCGAATCAAACAAAATCTCGATAATGTCGGTCTGTTTATCAGTGCTCTAATTTCCGGCTGAACAGCTGAACCTACTGGAACCAAATTTGGTACACATATTATATTTTTAGTCATAAAAAGAAGAGCTGAAAAGAAGAATCGCGCATGTACATAGTAAGTCAAAGTAACAAAAAACTGGCAATTTTTGACGTTTCAAGCGGAATTTTTCAAAAGAAAAAATGTGATGGTTTTGTCTGTCTGTCTGCCTGTCCGTCTGGCTCTCGTCTACCTCGGTAACAAAAAGAAATAGTGATTTCAAACCATCGCCAATCGATTTCTCCGAGTTCAAGGATCCATGCTGTTGAATATGAATATGATTAAAAGTCGTGTTTCCAAATGCGAGCTGAATGTCAAAAAATTCCCCTACTGAAAATCGTATGCGATCTTGTTTTATATTATAGCTAAACCGAGGGCTCAACTATTGCATGGAAAATTTGATGGTACATACTAAGTACTTTAGTAAGAACTTAAATACATTTCAATAATTTCATTACAAATCATTAAAAATAATAATTTTCATTTTTCTGATTTCATCTCGGATTTCATAAATAATGGTGACTCCGCTTTCTTAATGAAACCTATAGGGTTATTTGCTCGTACGTTACGTAATAAGTAATTTACCTGTAATGTGGTGCGGGTGGTATTTGTGGTAGTCACAGCAAATTTGTTAGTATCTTATTGTTAAGTCATATTGCCCATATGCCAATTTTATGTTATCATTTGCTATGTTACAGTTAATTACATTACTGAATTTGTACCCAGCGTGCACAATATAATGTATTTAAATTATAATCTGCTAAACTTTTTGTTAAATATTGGAAAACTGTATTAATTACGTAAGTATTATACAATACATTAATAAATGGCAATATGCACTGGGTGGTTCTTCCTGTTTCAGTCAATTCAGTCGGACAGATAAGGATAATAAGGAATCCGTCGTTACTGAACCATAACTGATGATACTGATGCCGCTTCCAAATAACTGCTGTGAAAAGGTTGTTCATTATTATCGGTAGAATTGCTTTGGTTCATGACCATTACCGATTTCTTAGAACCTCTCTACTTTTCATGGTTAAAGCGAAGATTATAGATTCGGGGGCAACCATTGTTAAAATTGTTGAACTCCACATTTATTTCCAAGCTTCCCTGACATTTCCACTTATTCTTTTTAATTTTTAGCATTCAAAAAAGTTTTTAGATTAATCATAGAGTTGAGAATATTCGAGAGAATATTAGTGTTTTTTGTTCCAAGCAGTTGACAATTTTTTTTAATTTTTAGAATAAACGAGTTGGTTTTTGTATCTTGTAGGCTTTAAAGGCTCTCCAATACCGATAAAAGAGTCAGATGCTATAGGGACATTGCTATATTTGACATCTTGTATAAAGCATAGGGCCTCGTATATTGATTGCCTCCAAGCTGAAGACGAGGCTGAAGATGGAATGTTGTTCTCTTATTCGAGAAGATTTCTGTACATTTGTGTGGTAAGCCGAGATACTTCCTTACTGCCAATCACTAGGACAGTGTTTCTTTTTTAAATTTTTTCTCTAATTATAAGATATCTTATAATAACAAGATAATAAGATCTTATAATTAGAGAAAAAATTTAAAAAAGAAACACTGTCAAGTCATTGGCAGTACGAATCATTAGTCTGCAAAAAAATCAGCTATATTCATCCAACCGCGAGTCCAACCGTAACCTAGTTATATCCGTAGATGCTTCGTGAAAAACCGACTAAGAATTGTTTTTTACTGAGTTAACAAATGTTCGCGATTTTTTTTAAATATTTTTCTAAGAGCTATACAACGTTTTCATTAACTTATTTTCTTTAAAAAAACCCATTTAGAATTGGTACCGCAAGAAGTACGCAGAGCGTTAAGTAACAGACGGTCGATTTTAGCATACTCGGATAGGCCAAAGTAGAACTCCATCGGTTAAAATTTTGATTCGAATTTTGATCACTCTCGTTCAGTGGATTTCGAGCTAGGTCCCCTACTATTAGATTTTTGCTTATTTGCTCAAAATTTCCAAATATTGGCCTAGAATTTCCTCATTCCGTCGAAATTTCCTCCTATTTCCCCAAAATGTTCTAATATTTGCTCAGAATTTCTTCTAATTATTTCCATTTCCTTAATATTTCCAGCTATTTTCTCGAAATTTCCTATAGGTATTAGGGACAACAATTTGCTCAATTCAATTCAGTAAATATACCATATTTGGTTCCAATCGGTTCAGCCGTTTAGCCGAAAATGAGTGTTTAGAAGGAAGACAGACCGACGTTATCGGGATTTTGTTTGATTCGTATTCCTGGTGCTTCAAAACGTGTATTTCCATAAAAAAAGGGGGAGGTCAATGCAATACCTCCCTTATGTACTAACGTGCGAGTAGTAAAAAATCGATCTATTGATTTAGACGTATACATTGTACTAATCACTTCTTTGTTACGCCATTTCATCAATCGAATGCCTTTCAAGCTTCGTTACTGCGAGATTAGGTGCCACTCATGATCCGTTGATTAAATCGTTAATAATTGAATATTACGCGTGGGCGAGTCGAAAATGACTAGCCAAAACTGTACCGGTTTAAAAAATCAATTCGCTCGTGGTAGATGGGAAAACTGATTTCAGTGCAGCAGGTTCACTATAAGCTAACTGTTTAAAAAAAGTGGTAGCTCTATTTCACTAACGTTTCCAATGTCTTCTAATTGGCCTAATTTCTAATTTCATTCATTTTCTAACTGAGATTGATGAGTCTGATCATTCGCTGGCTGTGCCCTTGTATCTATATTTTCGAAGATGTTTACTTTATTAAGCAGCGCAGTTGACCTTTTTTATATCCGCTTTAGGGATGTATTTTTTCATTTTGTTATTCGTAGCGTGTAGTTCTGACCCCTGATCTAAACAATCTTGGCGATTCTTTGATGGTAATCACTTTAATGTTGCACAAACAATTTAAAGCAGCAATTATGACCCAATTTCGGTGGGAAAAGTCCTCATCTGACTACAACGTTCTGTGGGGAAAACGTCCAAAGAAGAGAATTATGAGAACTTTTGATGACTATGCTCATTCTGATCAAAGGATCGTTGTTTATATGCTATGTCCGGTTGATATTTTTCTGAAATCTGTTTGTTCTCTTTCTTGGATTAGGAACAAGTACCTACAAGCAATTAATAAATTAATAATAGAATTTGATAACCAATTTTTGAAAAAACATGGTCACCTAAATTGTGCAAAACTGATATTGCTGGCCGAGTAAATTACCGTTCCGTTATGCCCTTCGTTTTTAATTCATCCACACATAGCAATTAAGTTTCAAGGTTCTTTGTACAATAAACAATGTGCGTATACTAAAATATTTGTTTATATCCTCGTTTATACCTAAGTGCCCGACCCTTCTTATTCGGTTCGTATAACGTTGATATTTATTTCTTTTTTGTTACTACGATACTGTGTTCTCATCGCGCTTTTCTCTGTGTTTTACGTTGTTTAGCAATAAAAAAGCAACTTTAAACGTTGGTAGACACTTTAATGTAAGATAATTGCTTTATTACTTGTAATATGTTGACTATGAAACCATTCTCACGCCATAAATATACGTAATGTTAAAGCAGTAATAGAATCAGGATTTTATGCATTTATTTACGCAATGAAGTTTCCCGTTGCATGTCCATGTTGAATAAAATGCTACTTGAATGTTAGAATAATGTTTCCCTGTGAGAAATTAAGCAATTTGATAATATCTATCTTTACTACTTACACACCTATACGCTTTTTCCTTACCCTTACGATAAGGTCATTTTCTTTTATTATGAGTAATTGATCCTTTCTACTATTTCTGAGCTTGATGCACCTGCATATACCTAATGGATGATTTAAAAACAGAATTCAAATTCAAAACATAATGTCATGCAAAGTAGAAATTGAAAAACGTACAAGCAAAACGTATGGCATATTATCAAATCAGTAATTTCCAAAAATTCTCGGTATTTAGGAAATGAAATTTGAAAAACGTGAAACCGAGGGCTACACTTAGGAAAGTACAAACATTCAAAGATGGCGGAAACATTGTGGAAAGTGTGATGCAATTTCCAGTTGGAAAATTCGCCACAGGGGAAGAATATTCGATCGCGGAAAATTTGCTCCCGGAATACTCGCTCGAGAAATATTTGCCCTCGTCGGAACACCTTACTGTCAGGATCTAGCTTCAAAGGAAAGTTCACATTCAGGAAATCCCAAATGGTCGACTTTATTGTATATGCAGGCTTAAAGTGTATTTCTGTGACAACATTCGCTCTGTTGTTCTTTTTTGACAATTTGTTCCTAAGTAAACTCGTCTCCAGTCCAGTTCAATTATTAAGCGTCATAGCAAAGCGAGGAGTAAAGCGATGTAAGCTTTATATGGGAGTCGATAGTGTCCGTCTGTCCGTGATCACGATAACTGTCAAACGCTTGGACCGATTTGGTTCAAACTTTGCACAGTCGACCTATATGCCACATGTAATAAGCCTATTGAAAATGGGTCAAATCCAATGACCCCGTGGGGTCACGCTTCTCTGTCCCTGCCAAACGCTTGAACCTCTGTTGAAACCGAGGTTGAAACTTTGCACAGTAGACTTATATACCACATGTAACAAGTCAATTGAAAATGGGTCAAATCCAATGACTCTGTGGGGTCACATCGAGGTGCTCTGCCGCTTTTTTAAACGCTCTTTATGGGTTTTTCGTCCTCGAGTAATTCGATCCCTAAGATTCCCACATCTGATTAGCCTGTTGTCCCTCTGGGGGAGTGTTTTTCACAAAATAGGGCCAAGTGCTCCTTTTGGAGGATAGCTTTAATGAACGTGAATGTTTTTTGGAGCAAGCTCGGGAGCAAGTTTCTAGTTAGCGAGTATTCTTATGGGAGCCGAAATTTCCGGGGACGACTTTATCAAGAGGCGAATATTCTGCAGGGAGAATTTCCGGAGGCTAATTCACCCGGGCGAATTTTGTTACAAAAACAGAAACAAATTTTAGAATTGAGTAGGTACATAGCGGTTTGAAATCGAGATTTCCTGAACATGAGCCAATTCCTGGCGAGGGAGAATTTTCTAAACTGGTGAAGGTTTTTCTTTAATAGTGTTCCGAAGGAATTTATATTTGGATGTCAACGCGAACAAAAATACGATCAAAATTGCGTTTTTGACATATTTTGCACAAAGACCTATATTATGTAGCTCCAAATAAACCCAAGGTAGGTTGAGCGAGGGGAAGAGTATAAGGCCCGTTGTGCTTGTGCATCAATCCGCTTCCAAGTAGAATGAAGTGATAGATGTAAACTATTAGTTCCTGAACACCAAAGACAGTCAAATTTATTGTTTTTTTAATCATGTTCAACACTTGTCAATGTACTCTGTTTCAATCGAGGTTTCAATTGAACGAGAATGTTCGCAAAATGTTCTTGAATGATAAAATACCGCATGTTTATTTTGCTTGGTACATAAAACGTTTTTTCCCGCCCACAAGGAAGTATAAAATATGTTAATGTGATGAAGTACTGTTATAATTATAAATAAGATGAAGGAAATATCGAAAACTGCTAATTAGTGGTAATTTCTTAACACAGTTATTTGTTATAACACTTGGCCTCTCAAACTCGACCAAGTTGAAATTGATTTAGTCAGCGAAATAACGCCACGAGATCTATTTTTGGCAATCACATAACAAACAACTTTTAAAATGAAATGGAAAGTGTCCTCAGTTGAAACCCGATACCCAATATTGATAGAAATGATAGAATTAAAGACCAATCTCGTAACTTTACTTTCTTTAACCAGTAAATGTAATCGTTGCCTATAGAATTACAATAATTTGAGCCATGAGCCAGAAAGCACATGCAGAGATAATGATTAATTTACTCAGGAAGAAAAATCACCCGATCGTGGATATGATTAATAACCGGCTACTAATCGAAATCTCATATTGTCGGCAAAATTTTTATACCATTTTGTGGTAAGTGAAAGCGCATACGCGTATGGTTTAATTAATCTCAGTCTGACCGCCACGATAACACATAAGAAGATCACAGAGTTGGGTACTTTCAACTTTTATTTTTTGCAAGAAATAATACCATCTTAAATTAACGACGGGGAAGAAAAAAACCTTGGTTATTGATTTAAAAATTAGGAAGATTACACCGCAATTGAAAACTATTCTGTGTGGTTTCATGGTCTAGTTATCTACTTATGAACTATTTAATTCATACTGCAAAAAAGTCGGAGGTTTTGCTCTTTAAAGTTGATTCGCAGGTATTCCAAGTGTAAATATACGGAAAAATTACGATTAGCGGAGTAAGCAGTTTTTTTATGCGCATAATAGATTTCCGTTACAGATAGTGAACACCGTTACCTTAGCAATGACATATTTAAAATACGCGGTATTGGTGTGAAATTTCACTTCCAGCAAGCATTATGCTGAATAGTTCAATGATCAAAATTCAAACAAGTTGTAAGAAAAGTTGCTATACAAAGCTACCGATCCAGATTTCACGTGATTTTATAAAGTACGAGTACATGCTTTCAATCTACTGCATGGGTCGCTTTCCTCGGAAAAATCTACTACTGTCACTTTCCTTCATAAAAAGCATACCAAAAACCTGGGGGTTGGAGGAGTAAAGGAGTTATATAGGTATTCCTCTTTTCAATAGGTATGTTTGCATCTTGTTTCACGTTATAACCGAAGAAGACAACTTACAGACAAAGCCGTTCCTCAGCCACCACGAATGTACTGGTGATTTTAATTTGATGGCAGTTTAGCATAGAATCCCAGATAGAATCCATTACTGGAATGCAACTTGAAACTCCAAAACTGGAAAACTGAAATTCTGTTTTCTAAAACCTTGTTATATATTTTTTAGATTATAAACTAATGATCTTGCTTTATTAACTTATAGAATCTAATCGTGTGTGCTAAATTCACGATAGAAAACTCCTCGATAAATTCGCCCCGGAACATTCGCTCTCCAGGGTATCCGTCCAACAAAGCTCGCTCTTTGGTGTATTGGATTTCGAATTATTCAACTGCAGCGGAATGGCCCCCGTTAGATTGCACCCTCCATAAAATTTGCCAAGAGAATTTGACTCGGAATTCGACATAGATTAATTCACCCCATTATACGCATTCGCAGCAAGATACCTCTAAGCAGAAATGATTTGTAAGATATCCAAAAACTAGTCTCTAATAATTGTTCATCTTTGGAAAAACTGGATCGCACTTTACTTAGGATTCCAGGAAATGGAAATCGGTTAGTTGATCTCTGGCTGGTAACGGAAGATTCTGCTCGCAATCCAAATGATCCAATTAACAGCAAATGTCGTCACTTAATGGCAGTCCTTTTTACTAGTTAACTGGGGCTGGTGATGACCACGTTCGAATTGCGCAATATTGTTCTTAAAATACGCACGGACTAACCTCCCACTTTCGCCATACGATTTGTTAATAGCACGCCGTAAAGCGAACTCGAAATAGATCTAATTTGTCTCCTGGAACTTCTGCTTTCTAAATGGAACTATTTGTTAAATGATTTCACGTGCCACTCTAAACTTGATTTCCGGACGGCAAAAGTCCCCTAGTACTTTTATAATTGTTCGAATCTCCTAAATATCAATCCACCACCTGCTAGTTGCACTGAAAAAGTTTCTTTCCACTGGAAGCACTGGAACACCTGTGGCTGTTGAACTTATAAAAAGGAAAACAAAAACACCAATAAACGACAATAATATATTAAAATTAAAATATTATAATATATTGTGGTTTATTGTTTTTTTTTTGTTTAACTTTTTATATTATTCTTTCCAATGTATTTGGACAATTTAACTTTACCTCACAAAAGCTTCAACGCGAATCTAAAAACTCGTTGTTCTTTTGACGTGATCTCTAGGACGGCTCAAAACTAATTTTTATTTCTGCTTCTGAGACTTTAACGTGAGCTCTACGGCCGTTCAAAACGCCTTGAACATTTTCCGCGCTCGCCCACGGATCACTAATCCTTCTTACACCTCAGCAAAAAGGCTGCAGTTTTATCAATAGCAGGATGTAGTTCAGCTGTATTCTACTTTTATAAATTTTACCTTATCTCGCGACTGAATGACTATCCTGAAACTTTAGCCCACATATAATTGAAAATATTTGAGAAAAATTTAAATGGTTCTGGACAAGCCTATGCTTTTCCTTGCTTCTACAGATGTGGTATGTGGTTGGAAAGGGATATATTTTGGCCATGCGGTAGGTGTTTTCAGAATCATGTCATTATGTCTGTCCTTCTGTACGTAATATTCAGGTCACCAATCTTAGAAGTGTTGACGGATTATATTGAAATTTAGTATAATGAAGACTATAACCTGCTCCTAAATCAACTTGTGTATATAAATTGTGTCCTTGTGTACGGATTTCGTTGAAAAAGGAACCAAACCTTAATGGATGGAAAATTAATATTCTTTTGCTTTAATGAACCATTGATTGTAAGTGGAATTTCATATGCATCGCAAGATGATACCAACAGTGTGTAACAACAAGAAATCCAAAAAATCGCATTGCTTGCAACTAAACTTGTACATCGTATAGATCTTAAACCCTCAGTTGGACGGACGGACGTGAATTACGAAGGTATGATGACTTTTCTTAAAGATATGCTCAAAATGCAAGCTGTATAGCTGTTTTTCTATTTATGAAACCTCATTACACAAACAGTAGTAGAATTTTATTAGTGTGAGGGTGTTAAACATTCAAGGTTTTTTTTGACACAATGGTTTTTCTTAATAGTGGAAGCTGTATGTACACTTTTTAATCGAAAAAAGTTGAAAACAAAGCACTTAACATATAAAGGTATATACTGTAGTGCGTAGATTAAAAACAAGGGTCAGGTGAGCAGCTACCAAAAATTCTGAGAAATGGTGAAGTGCAGAAAATGTGACTAATATTTGGTGCATAAAAGTCCATTGTGAGAAATTGGATGGAAAATTATATTACCTTGCTAGTCAATCAAACTAACGACACAATATGAGGAAATCAGTGAATCGCAATTCATATTTAAGTATCGCACATAGATTCTAAACCGAAGATTTTTTGTTAGCAAGATCTCGCCTCCAAGATAGGTAACTTCTCTTTCGTCCAGGGAATGCAACCCTACAGTTGAAAGTTGAGGTCAATCCCGCCATTAGGTGCCGAACTTATGCGGTTTTAGTTACTTACCACCCCCGGAATCGCATTCACGTCCAAAATGTTAGTTTACTAACTACAAGTTAGTACACACATCAAACAATTTGATAACTTCCACATATTTAAACGAATGACCTTAAATTCCATAATTTAACTTCAGACCCATGTAATAAGTAATAACCAATCAACGTCAATAAATTCAAACTTACCTACAACGAACATGACGTTCATGATAAGGACACAAAAATAATAGACCAGATTTCACACAAAGCAAAATATCATAAACCCTCCTTGCAAAACAATGAGGCTTGTTTACATTATTTAAATCATGATTACGTTATTATGAATAAATAAATGAAAAGCACGCAGTTACGTTATGTCTCAATCAAAATTGTACTGTTCAGTTCACAAATATATAAATGCAAATAACTAATTTGTTCAGTGTGAGAATGATGAATGCATAAATCTCAGGGTATAAAACAAAAGCAATGTAAAAATGAAAGCCTCTTGTACAAGAAAACTTGAACCGCTTCTGATTGTCGACTAAGCACATACAGGGCACTTTCGGTATATACAGGGTGGAATCCTACAATACCCACATAATCAATTTCTCTCGCAGTACCAAGATTCATCTGTTGTTTCAAAATGGCGACCTTTGTCGAATATAATGGGTATATTTCGGAAATTCCGTATTCATTGCCATTTTACAGTCTCACATAAAGGAGAGAGTCGAATTAGACGGAAATGTGCATTGAAGTATGTAATTAGAAATACATTTGGAATTCTCTTGATTGGAAGTTCTTCCTTTTTTAACGCATTTGAACTCTATTGTCCGCACTTTGTTCTTCTGTCCGTCTGCTGTACCGCTACACTAGTCCTGCAGTTTAAGATTTTTCGTTGCGGTTTTTTTCGTATACGGGGGAGCACAGCCCCGAGACCAGAACGATAAAAGATTTTTTGGGATTAGACACTTGTTTTCCGAGTTAGTACTGATTCTGTGCGGGAAAAATGCACTTTCGTCGGTTACGAATGAGCACGTTTTTAATTTGTTTGGATTCCCAGCAAATACTAGATAAGATACGAAGAATCGCATACCATTTTCACTAGAGAAATTTTTTGACTCTCAGCTCGCATTCAGAAACACGGCTCATATTCAATAGCACTGATCCCTCGACTGATCCTTACCTAAACTCGTAAAAGTCGATTGGCGAGTAAGGTTTGAATTCGCTGTCTCTTTTCATTCTAGAGTTAGACGAGGAACAGACATACAGACGGACGGACTCTACGGAGGTATGCTGTACAAAATTTCGTTCATTAAAAGCCTCTATTACATCCATTCTAAGTTCCGCTTTGTGAGATTGAATTATTAGTTACCCTTTTTGTACGAGTAGCATAGACACAACCAATTGGCATTTGGAGGGTCCACTGCAAGTCGAAATTTTGGGGGTTGGAGGTTTTGCGATAGTGTTGGAGATACAATCCGAATCTTTAAAATTTTGGATTATAAGTTGTAACGTAAACTTTACTTCTAAGGTTTTACATTACGAATTGTGGGTTCGGAAATAAAATGAACAATTTGCCATTTTCATTTAATGACAGCATACTTGGCTACGTGTTTATAGTGACGCCAAACGTGATTAGTTATTTTCAAAAACAAAGAATAGTTTAGGTGCTTGCGGAACATGGAAGTGTTTGTAGTTAACGATCAGGTGTGTAAAAATTGGCGACGTCTGCAACGTGAGGAAAAGGAAACGTTCCTTCAGTGCAAGCTGTAATTTTACAGTAGCGATAATCGTAAACGTGCCAAACAATACGCAGTTAGTTATTCGTGAAAAAATGAAAATGAGTTGAAAGAAAGTAAGGAGACGATTACCGTGCTTAATATTTCCTGCACCTGTTGCATGTAATAACATAGACAAGTGTAGTTTATTGTACTTTTGTGTGTAGTGTTTACGTATTACTACTGCATGCTTTACGTGCACAAAAGCTGTGCTAAAGTTGTCCAAGAAAAATTGGAACGTTTTAAACGAGCAAGGTTACGAAAGTGTCCCGAATCTGTAAAAGTAAAATTCTACCGTTCAACAAACTCTTTAACTTCTGTATGTACCGCGAGCATCTTTATATGGCGATGAACCGTTATCTTAATAGGACCTTTACTTCGTAAATTAACGAGTTCTTTTTATATAGCTTATCATGGTATATTCGGCGGCGGCGATGATGATGATATTTTATACTTACATGCATGAAATTAATAACACTAATAACGTAACGCACAGAACAATTCCGCCATTACTCAGCATTTTAAAACCTTAATTAAGATCTAATTTAAATCGCTTACAGATTTAACGGTGAGATATGCGAGAATATAAGGTACTTAGTCTTGCCGGATTGTTTCTTTGAAAAGGCGACCAAAAAAGTACCTACATCAGAATAATCGCTAAGGCAATGCATATCCCGTTTGGTCCAATTTATTCTCTCGAGAGAATTGAAGTTTGCAATCTGGCTCCAGAATGAATCCTAGCTAAGGAGTTGATCAAACACCATAAAACATTTAAAAACAGTTTTGTATTCTGAACAACTTTAAACTCGACAGTTTTTTCTGTAAAATGTACAGGAGGGCAGGATATTGCGTAAAACTAATTTCCCATGTTAAATCCCTATGTTCTTACTTACCGTGCACCATATAAATTTGAAACGTTCAATTTTGTCCGCAGGATAAGTCGACTCTGTCCGCAGATTCAATGTTTTTACCACAATAGTATCGATTAGAACAATGGCTCTTTATATCGGGTGATCAAAAAGAACTGCATACAGTTTAAATTGGGGGCTTTAAGTTTTTAATATTTTTTACTTAAGGAATTGGCAAACATGTTTAGAAGGTAGTTTATTTATGTATTAGTGATTAAATTGATCCACCACTGCTTTTACATAAATGACATTTGGTATGTTATCAACGTTATAAATGTTTAGTTTTCCGGAAAATTCAAATTGTCCATTGGGATGCATAAGACACAGTATGGTTATATACATCGAAACGTGAAATTTAAGAGCTGCTATGAAAAGAAAAACATGACAAGGTTCTTCTCTTCAACAATTTTCAGACTGAAATTAGGACACGGTTGCTATCCAGCCCATCTGTACCGAATGAAAATTATAGATTCGCCAGCCTGCTCATGTGGTGAAGAATTGGCAGATTTGGACCATATCATTCTAGCTTGCACAACATACGAAAATGAGCGCGTGACGCTCCTTCAAACATTAAATAAAGAACGTGTGCCGTTACCCACTAACGTTACCAGCTTACTGTGCACCAACAATCTGATCGTTTATGAAGCACTAATAGAATTTATAAGGATGTCCAAAATACGACTGTAATATTTCACCAAAAAGATAACTGTTATTAGTGTTGTAGGCCCAATTATTTTTTCAGCGTTCGGTGTTGTCTTAATGTGCTTCCTTAATTGTTTCACCCTATGTATAATCCTCTATTACACAAGGTCGTACTCCGTATCGTCATATAAAATGCCATGGTAGACCTCTTGGCGAGAAGCGTGTGTCCCTGTTTAATCCTTGTTTATATGTAATGATGCCTTTTCGTATATAGAAGTTTAAAGTAATGTGGCTAAATGGGCTGTGATCCCAATAAAAGCCTACAAAAAAAAAAAATCAAATTGTCCACACTACTTTTTGATCACCCGGTATTATGTGTGCGGCCTTGTGTAGGTAGGCATATCGCATATTTTTCTCCTCTTATTTAAATCACATACCAGAACAGCTTTAAACGGCCATATTTTCATATAGAATTTCTTAATAAAAGTTTACCAGTTGATTTTCGATGGCTTAAACTGAATTTTTTCGGACGATTTAACCATTCTGCTCAGCTTTACGGCCACTGCGTTAAAAACCTTTTTCAGCCACTTCGACGCAATCCCGAGCAAGCGTTTCCTTATGGTGGCTTCACGCGTAATTTTCTTCTTAACGTTTTTCGCGGCTTGAGGCGAAATACCCCACGGTTATTTTTCACACAGCCGAATCTGAATTTTTCACTAACTAAATTTTTCATCTTTTTTCCGCGAAATATCTCGTGGTTACTTACGCATATTTTCATTTCTTTCTATCAACGATTTTCCCACCAACATGCATTTTTTGGAGAACACGCACATCGATCATGTGGCTGCTCCATATTCTTCTGGGTTGCAATCCTGTACCACTTCATTTGGGTAGGATGCACATATCAGCCACATTGCACAGTAGTGTTTTCGATTACAATTGTTTCTTTGTGTTAGGTTTCCTAAAGTTTGAAAGATCGGGAAATTAGTCGATGTTTCTTGAGGATAAATTGTATTTACCCAAAATCGTCCTGAAACCTTCATTTTCATGCCTATTTTCTGTCAGGAAATTTTAGTTTCCATGACAGAGGCAGAGCAAACTACGTTTCCTGCCGCTTGTCACTTTACTGGCCGCACCTGTCACTTTACCGGCCGCACTGTCACTTTACCGGCCGCATTTTTGACATTTCCAAATGTCTATAACGACTCCTGTCATCACTGACAGATTGACATTACTCAAAGGTTCCATATAAAAATTGAAATGTTACATTAAAACACCATTTCGGGTAAAATTTAATACAAAACTCGTCAGTAAAATGACATTACTTGACTCGGCCCAAAGAGACCTCGTCCTTCAATATTTCCTCGCCAGCAATGTAACATTTTCCTGACTTTTATGTAAATAACTATTCTGTTGTATATCTCTGCAGGAATGACCTATGAGTAAACATCACAATATGAAGTTATATGAGTAGGTATAATCTAATTTTAGGACATTCTGGCAATAAAACATTTACAATACATTTTATTTATAGTTACGTGACTGTAAAAGTAAACGGTACACTAACGGAAATAAACAATCCTCTCGATAAAAATATTTAGAGAGGATTATGTTGACAGATTATGATTTAATATGCATTAATGTCATTAGCATCGAAAACACGTTTTATATAAAGCAAAGTAAGTATCCCGTTTGTTCATATAACAGTTCCATATTACCTACCGCAAGATTACTTTCATCTCGAAACATTTCCTGAATGATTATTATCGTTTCGTGCGAAATCCATCTCCGTTCCTCTCGTTAATGAAAATAGGACGAACAACTTGTAGGACATTAATGACAATCAAATTGACAGGTATAAGCAATCTATTACTTCACTAATTATGTATTGGCACTTCGAATTAAGCAGAAGAATTAAGTGTTTACTAAGATATAATATGCAAAAATATTAAATTAAGGTCAGAAGATGATCTCTGTAACGGCGCATACTATACGTTTCGCAATCCCAATCGAGTCGAAAACTATGTATGGAGGAGAGATCCTTAAGAGTCTTCTGTACCCACTGCACTCAATGTAAATTTCCATAAGAGCGCCCGCCATAAAAACTAAAATTTTTTTTTAGCCGGAAATAATGCCAATTTGCACTAACAAAATTAAGCCTTGTTTAAACTTAAGTCGAACTTAAAATCTAAGGCAAGAGAATCGATGCTAGGATCATTATTAGCCAACATTTTGGAACCAGAACAAAACGGACATGCTTGTACCACTTTTGAAATGGAATACTTTATTAAAAGTCTATAGGGATTTTTCAGATATATTCTATTACTAACGGACTTAGCAAACTAAAAGTATGACCGCAATCTTTAAAAATACCAGCCTTCTCTGCTGTAACGCTGCCATTTTCTCGATCTTTTGGAAAGAGGACCCTTTAAAAAGATCATAAAATTCCCACTAGAAACGCTAATTTCCCTAAGGGTGCCGAGTTTCGAGTAAATGACAGATAGCCACTGTACGGAAAAGATGTTGCAGGAAGATGGGTGAATTTTTTTTAATCATTCTTAGATCATCTAATGGGAACTACTACTATCTTTTAGCATAGGTGAAAATACTATTTTGATTTTTTAAATATTTACTGGAAATAGTTTTACTACTTTTTATGATGTAGGGTAATGGAATAGCAATTGATTTCGATCGATCGAAAGTGGTTAAATATGCAAAATAGGAGAGCTGTACATACTGCTAGCAGGTATTTACAAAATTTTAGTAAATAATGAATCCACCTATTTCTACCGCCAATTAAAATACAGAACTGATGTTTTCGTGAAGTACCTATCGAGACGCGGACGGAAACTCCTATTAAAAAAATATTTTGCAAGAAATTAACGACTCTATAGGTATTCGGTCATGATAATTTACCGAAAATATCCTTTTTACTTAAAACGAAAGTATTTAGCTAGTCGATACACGTAAAAATCAGGTGGGGTAAGAGCTGGAACCCTTGGTTGGGTAGCAGTTTCAGAATCAAACTCAGCAACTAATAAAAATTAACTTCTTAAATATTTCAGATTCTATGCACTACATTTAACAATAATGAGATTTTCATTTTATTTGTAATTATCTTTCGCTGTAGTCAAACAGTGCTTCTTACAGTAGCAAGCTGTCCTTCGCAGGAAAAAAAACCAATTATCGCCTTAATAGAAGAAATTCACACCGACCTGATGTAACAGTTTGGAAAGCGTGAGACATGCGAAGACTAATAATAAAAATAACATAAAATTGAGGGCGATGTAACGAGTTACTTACAATTTTCTTGTACATATACCTACTCCAAAACAATTATATGATATTAAACCAAATATTTACCGAATTACCGCTCCCGTAATTAGCTATTTGTTTTACTTTACGAATTTACGATTCCGATTTAAATGAGGAATGGGCGCACGAAAAAAAGTTGATTATTTTTCTCGCATGTACCTCCAGTATATGTATAAGCGATACACGATAAAAAGATAATAACTTGAGAAAGGAAATTAATTTCTCACGTTAGTGTTGCAGTAACGATAGTTTAATAATAGTTGAAAAATGGCGTAATTACTTTGGAAAATGGACCACCTAATATTTGCTCGAGAAGACTATTTTTCTTGTTATTTGTCCGACAAAGTTGATATATTTAAATAGTTAAAGTACCATATACGTAATATACAAACAGTCGAATCGTCAATGTTTGTGCAATTTATTCCTATTTGTAATAACACTTGGCGCTTCCTTAAAGGGTTGCTAGACGGAAATAGAAATCATTATTCAAATATAGGCATAGTGTTTACAGTGGTGCCGGCTGGCAATAAAATCGTTTACGTATTGTTTTATGATGGCTCCGCGAACACTATAAATTTATTCATGTGCACTAAAATGTAACTACATTTTATTATTTCACATATGGAAGAGCCAAAATGACTTACTCCAGGGGGTGGCGAGGCATTCTCACAATTGTAATTCATATTTACTCGTATAAAAAATTCACAAACGAAACAAAATTTTGGCATGGAACTTCTTTCTACATCCGTTCGCTACGAAATTCCTTTTAAGTTACCTTGTATAAGGGACTTGGAACTAAAATTTGCCGCCCCTAGTAAATCGGTTTCCAAGAAATTAATAAAACTACTCGGCCATGTAACCTTTGTATGAA